ACGAAGTTGTCTAATAAGTTATTTTTCATTGGTTTAAAATGTAAAGATATAAATTTTCAACTTTACCGAAGCTTAAAAACATTCCAATGAAAGTTTACATTCGTGTAGCCAACATCATCCATTCGTACTTAAACGTTTAAAATAAACAAAAAATTTACCTTGCTTGAAATTCTGAGCTCATAAATCCAAAAATAGTACAATTATTCTTGAGTATGATTCAAATCAAGAATAAAAACAACCTGCTAACAAATTAATTTTGGCAATGAAGCTCAAATACTGCCCTCAATGGTTCACAGTATTTGATGATGAGCAACCAAAATGCAGAGAATGCATGGACTTAGTAGATGTATTCATTGCCTCTGTAACCGAATCAGAATCTTGCGTTAGTCATCATTAGCTGCACAATGCTTGGCAGAATTTCCTCTCAGTTTGGCTGAAGGCAACTTTAGTGTTCGCAAAGCGGAAATTAGACAAATTTCATGCATTTCACGTTATCTCGTTTACATTCTACATTGAGAGAACTATAAATTTGTCCGAGTTTTCATCGTTGTAAATCTCGCAAATGTGGAATCTACAATTCTAGATCTTGCAAACACTTGATTTCACTATCGCATAACAATTCCCAAATACCTAATTTATACTATTGTACATCTCATTTATCTTTGAAATCTACTTCTCCGAATCATAACTGTTTTCCCCATTAATTGATCTTACAAATTATTGATTCAAACCATTGCAGATCCATAAACAGTTTTTACCAATTGTAGATTTTTTGGCAACTATATATATTTTTTCTGTTTAGATGTTGCAAAAATTTACTTATAACATTGTAGGCCTGCTATAGATCTGATCTTACAAACACTTTATTTTATTTTAATTATTTTTTTGCCATTTGTTACTTACTGTAGTATTTATATAGTGCCCTTCTTTTAGGTTATATAAAATCCTTTGTTATCCCTTGTTGTTGGGTCCACATACTTAAGAGTTGTTGTCATATTGGTGCAGTAGCAGGCAAATGAAATATTACAGTGCTTACTACAGTTACTAGTGTTGGTATTAATTGTAAAAGTAGCAACATTTTCAAAAAAAGAGAAGGTAAGAGAAGCAGTACTCAGAGAGTAATGTTCTTTTACAATCTTTTTGCTAGGCTGTCTTTTACAGTTTCTTTAGGTATGATTTATTATTAACTGTGTTTTTCTTTTTTCAGGGAAACTTTGCTCTAGATCGTCGAAGAAACGGAATTAAACCAGCATTACCAGCCAAAGAAGAGAGAGATAAAATTCTAGAAAACTTGTCACTTAAATAGTAATTTGATTTGGGTTGTATATGTATTACATGAGGGCGCCATTTACTTCTTTCTGCTGCCAATTAAGTGTCGGATTGCAATTGAAGTTCTAAATTTCTAATTTACAATATGGAGTAATGAAAGATCAGATCTTCAGTGCAGAGGTCTGTTGAAATTGGAAGTACCCTACATGCTACAGCTCTGTATGAATAAATGTTGTGGTGTTCAATGGGGACTTGTGTAGCATGAGATGTGGTCGGATCTATAGCATGAGAAGGAATCCGCTGAGCTCATCTGTATGTTTACAAAAATGTTTCTATACCAATGTTGCAGTGAGCCCATTTATTACATTATTTGTAATTTTCATGTAAAATGAACTCAAGCAAAGCAAGCAAAAACAGAAATATACTGGAGGGATTCGTATGCTAAAATGTGGATAGAAAAGGAACTCTGGAACATGAGAGGCAGATCATTTTTTAGTGACTCGCATAGTTGAGACTAACATATTAAAGGTCTTTGTTTTGCATGTAAAGATAAATGTAGGGACTGAATGAGTGCACCACTAATGAATCTTTCCGTTAAGCCCCGCCCCTTGGATACTGTTGCTAAGGTCCCACCAAACAACAATGTAAAAGCATATGTGTGTTTGTGGGACAACACATGTGGTTGTATTAGACACACCCATATTCCCTTAACTCTGTTCTGATTGGTCAGTTGTTGAGTTTGATTGGCACTTCTGGAAAGGTCTATTGTTAAATGCACATATTAATGAGTTTAGAATTTGTTGAAGTACTGAATTTAGAATGTACTGTAAATAAATTAATGTAAACAAATATAAGGTTCTGATATTCAATAAAAATGATCATGAACGTAGAAAGAATGAACCTTTTGTATGTTACTGCGTGTATAATGGTTATTTTAAACAAAAAAACAGATAGTAAGTACATAAAAAACTCACTGCTCCCTATGTTCTAATCCCTCTCTCAAACCTCACTAGTTGCCATTCTCTGCCATTTATTATTACTTGCTATTGAATTGTTATTGAACATTTTCTTTTTGTATATAATTTAAATAGTCATGGAATAGTATCTGTGGGTGACTGAATCAATTTCAACAATATCAAAGAAAATTCAATTCCTAACTATCGGAAGACTAGATGGTCTTGCGCATTAATGGTAAAGCCGGGCGCTCACTGAGTCAACCGTCGGCTGACGAATCCAACTCCACTCCTTGTTGGAGCTAGACGATGCAACACCAGTCTGCTGATTGTCGGTGGCAACCAGGGCATATTAAAAAAACGATCTGTTGCACACTCCTCGTGAAGTTCCGTTCTCCATGGAATCGTGTTTTTCCGACTACCTTCTGGCGAAGTGAGTGCCCATGCTTTACACACACCATAGAAGTCATGCGTAACTGATCCAGGGACTACAAATAGAGATGTTACTCACTCACCGTAACACACGCCTCCAATTCAAAACCACTCTTAAGGGAAGCCACGCCTACACAGAGGTGCCCAAAGGCCGCCGAAGTGGCTAGTGTAGAAATAAAATCTTGAAAACTACCCAACTCATTGCTGTCAGCATTGGAAGCAACAGTTGAATATTTCTAAGTAAAAGGTAATTATCTTGGCCCAATTGATTTAGAATTGCTGTGTATTTAAGCACAAGTTGCCTATTTTAATTAAATTGTTGGTGACGGGGCCTATACAGCTGTTGAAGTATAGTGGCAAGAGATGCTAGGCTTTGGGGGAAAAAATGGATATCAACTGTGAAACTTGCAGGTACTATGTCATTTGTTAGCAAACTTAATCTACAAATTTCAAAAACATCAGCAGTCGCCTTTTAAAAATATTTTTGGGAGGTGTATATGAGCTATTGCGAAATAAACAAAAAAAAAGGTATCCTAAAAATGGTCATGGATATTAAGAAAATGACTCTGCTATATAAATATCTGAAGTGGTATTGCTTAATTTTTTATAACCTATTAGTATTTAAACACAAGAGCTACCCAAGCCTGGAAATACGAATCCCAGTCCACCCCTGAAGAGATGCAAGAATCTGCAGTTACCACCAATATTCAGTTGAGCTATCATGCTCTATGGCAGGGGCGGATCCAGAGATGTCCAAAAGGGGGGGGGGCCGAAATTTGGGCCGATCGAGACAACAATGCCCTAGGGGGTCCGGAATTTTTGTGTTCTAGGCACCCGAAAATAACATTTGAGGCGTTGTGGGCTATCATTTTTTTCTTTTTCCTTCTTTTTTTCTTTTTTTTCTTTTTTTCACCTCTCAAAAGGGGAGGGGGGGGCCGGGCCGGGCCCCCCCCCTAAATCTGCCCCTGCTCTATGGTATTGCATTAATGTGCACCAAATAATTACCTATACGTCTCACCTACATTACAAATATTACTGTATTTCCTCTGGTATAAGCCCATCCCCCGCCCCCACTCTTTGAACACAAAATTGGGCCAATTATTGGGGGTTTGCTTATAAGCGGGGAATCCCCTTTTGTATGCCCAATTCAAAGCCAATATTTGATGCTGTCTCTTATACACATCTATTTGTAGATTAAGTTTGCTAACAAATGACATAGTACCTGCAAGTTTCACAGTTGATATCCATTTTTTCCCCCAAGCAGAATACATTACAAAGATTCATTACTTTTATAAAATAATAATAATAATAATAATAATAATAATAATTTCATATCACAGACATGAAACCAGCAATTAATTTTGGCCTAACATTTGATCCTTTTAAATGAGTTATTAAAAGTTATAATTTAATTTTTTATCTTTCCCTTTTCTCAAACTCAATTGTCTCCTGTATCTTTCCTATCCACATGACTCCTTTGAAAGTTCAACCCCTTTCCCTACACATGTGAAGAATGCAAGAAATTATTAGTACCTGCTTGCTTACCACAGGAGTCTTAAAACGGGGTTGGAGGTGGGTGGTCGCGAACGTGAAGCGGTGGTTTGAGGGCAATTATCTCACAAAATAAGTGATTGTTATCTACTTTGGCGTGATCTTTTTTGTTTCTAAACATTGTCAATTGGGGAAACTGGGGACATGAGATTTTTTAGGGGGATGTGAGCTTTTTCATAGATATTCTACTGGCTTGTCAGCATTACTACCGTTACCTACATCAACCTACAATCCTACATCAAGGCATTGCACAAAAAAACGGGACCATAAATCTTGGCGTAAAGGAATAAATCTTATTCAGCAGATTCCATTTTGGCCGGAGGGGTGGCATGTTTGCTGGAGTATAAAACCACTAATGATCAACCACCCATTATATCATGTAATAAATCTCCTGTACGAATGTCAAGTAGACTAATGTCAGTTACAACTGTCAGGTAACTTCCATTATTCTCAAGGGGTTAATTATATTGCTATATATTTTCCCCATGGTATACTTGGGTTAATGAATAATATCCTAATGCACTTCTGGCACTCTCATTTAAATTGATTAATAACTGTATCTGTACATCCCCAATTTTGAAATGGATGCTGACTTTTACGATAGAGTTTTAACTTAAAGTGTATTTAATTTTATTTGTGTGTTTTAGGAAGACAATCGAACTATGAATTACACTGACACTTAAGCTTAAAAAATTTCATCTGGTTTCTACTATGTATAAAAATGAATAAATTACACTCCCCCCACCCCAAAAAAAATCTTGCGCCCCTAGTCTTCCTCTCAGGCTCGGGCTTCATCCCTTCCCACAATCCACATTTAAAGAGTCCACCATATTTTTCAATCCGTTGTTAACAGATCTTCATTAGACAATGATGTTTCTGTTGATGTTTGTTGTAAATTACCATATTTATTCTAATAAACATCCCACTTTGAATTGACACACCCCCCAAAGCCTTATTTGCAATAAACGCCTCCCTAGAATAAATGCCCTGGGCATTTATTTTTTACCTCGAATACATGACATTCTCAATACATTTCATTATTGTTATACTCCAGTAGAATTACATTTATTCTAACCCTTTTCAACATTAAACTCAAAATGTTTATTTAAATAAAAATGGTAATTACATATTTGCAACTGAGTGTCTAAAATAAGATAGAGATTGGTTCTGCGAAATGAAGATGTCACCACATGAACTTAAGAAATAACTAAAAATATTATGATGCTCGATGCTCCCTTTTTCCCTTTTTAATCTTTCTGAACAATTTTAGGTTTCTCATAACTATTTGTCAAGGTTTAACAATATGTTCAAGCTGTTTCCAATTGAATATCAATTCATTCACACACAACCCCCACCCTCACCCTCACCCCTCCCATCAATGGCAATCCTGGATGCAGCCCTACCTTGGACTAGGGCCTTTGCAGCCACCGACCCAAGTCACTGGGACAAAAAAGGCAAACTCCACAATAAAAAGACATTTTTACAATGAATGATCATTATGATGATGACGACGATGATGACAATACAATTCATTAAAACATACAACATTGTTAATAGTGTACAGGTATATACCATCAGATTATATTTTAGAGAATTCTAGAAAAATTATAGAAATACAACAACATTTCTCTCTAACTTGTGGTTTTATTTCTTCAAATCCAACAAGATACAGTACTATTGATTAAAATCTGGGTCACATTTCTTACCTAAATGTGAATTCACTCTCAAAACATAACACAGGGATATTACTACTGTATGTTATGTTAAGTATTCAGTGGTGATACCTGGAGAATAAGTTTCAATGAAACATACCAAATCATTCAAGCATAATTTTTTTTACTACAAAAACCTTTCAACTGATTGCTAGTCAATTTAAGGGACTATGACAACAATAAAGGAATGGTAGATGCATTGTTGAAAAAAACAAAGATTTTTCACTATTCCTTAAGCTGGACACTCACTGCCACAAAACTGATTTTAATGATGATCGCTTCAGACTCCTGTGAGTGCCCGACTTTGCATTTATAACTTGTTTGATTACACTTTGGACCTGCTAATTTTAAATGATCTCACCGATTAAAATATACTAATAGCTATACAGTATTTACATTACATAGCAACTAAAAGAAGTCTGAAATATAAAATGACATTAAACTCTGTACACAATTGAAACTTAAATATGATTGTTGGCATATGAATACAAGGAATGTGAAGGAAATTCTTATTTCATTTTTTCTATTATCTAGCTACTTATTTTTCTTCCGACTTTTGACTGGAAGTAGATGCTAAACAATGACATAATGGACCACTCGCAGAATATGGACGCTCAAATTTTCCACGAATATTTTCCGCGGAAATTACACGATTAACGGCAGTAGATTTCTGGATGGTACTGTACATGACAGGATTTTATTAGCTCTGATATTTGATAAAATGATTTTTAAAAAAAAAATCAAAGTAACTTTTAATGCACAATTTTCACGCTAGCCTAGAGGCAATTACTGGTGTAACACACTTTCAGGCAATCATGTTGTAGTGATGGGATACCTACTTGCTATTGTCAATTTGTTTCCGTACATGTTTTATACATGTTTTTTAATAGATAAATTTATGCAGAAGCATGTAATATCATTTTTGTACACCACTATTGTACCTTGAACATAGGCAACCTGCTTTTGGTAATGTTGGTTAGACACTGTCTCGTGGATGGAAGTTTTAAGATGTTGGTCCCATGTACATAATGTCTTTACGTATGCTGTGGCATCTATCTAAAATGCAGGGTGAAGTGGGAGGGTTCAATGATTAAAGTGAAGGGAGCACAATGAGGTGATTTTTAATTACTTGAGCACAATTTTTTGTTTCGTAAATTTCTAGTGGGGATGGGGGATAGCTTTTTTGTGGTCTCCCCCCTCACGTGTTCTGCACCCCTACCTATGCCACTGTGTACATGTGCCTAAATGATATATAACACTAAACCTGTTATCCATTTTACATACTCAACTAATAATGTAGAGCATATTGTATTTGAAGTCAACAATGTAACTAGGATCTATAGCTGGATGTAGATAATTACCTGGTTCACACAATAGAAAATGTACTAATTATATCTGTTCCGATATTTCTCTACCAAGATTTGTTGCTTTCACATACAATTAATATGCAAACAGTGAAGATACGCGCAACACCAAATTGAAACGTAAGCTGCACCTTATTACTATGTGCACACATCCTTGCTAAATCTCGTAAACTTTACCGGCCTTCTTGAAGTCTGTTTATTTACCAAGCTTATCTTTGGTATTCTTGCAAAGTAATATATTTTGATGAATGAAATATCCTTACTAGGGAAAATATCCTTGGTACAATTTCTTAATAATTAGTTCACTTCTATCGTGTTAATCAGGTATTAGATAAAAAAATTTATATGTACAAGCTAAAATTTAAACATGGATAAACAGTCACAAAGAAGATTATGTTTGGGACAAGACTAGTCCTTCGTCACTGGCAAGTCTATAAATATGCGTTGTTCAATTAAAATTGTTCACAATGACATCAAATACGCATCTATATTATCAGAAGGTATTTTGATCTATACTAATGATTAATAAAGATAATTTGTACAAAGTCTTTTAGAGGTTGAAAATGAAATAAGAACAATGGTATATTAATATGTAACTTAATATCTTCTTTTACTATGAAATTTACCACTGGATGTTTAAAAAAGAAATGATAAACTAAATGGTACTCAAACAGCAACAGATTGTCTAACAATGTTGCTCATGAAGCTACAACCAGAAATGGTGACATAATTAAACTACCATCAAATTGTTAAATAATGTAACTAGTAATAATAAATAAAATAATGCCACAAATTAATACATGATCACAGTCTCTGATTTGAATGACTATTTCATTATTCAACAACCAACAACTTTTGCGGCTTGCATTTCTAGTACCTCAAAATCTTCTGTAATACTTGGCCTTTCCTCTCACCTTATACCACCATATCTAAAAATTAAGACAAGAATTATAAACAAAAATTATTGTAAAAGTCATTTTCTAAAATTTGTAGCATTACAATTAGTAAGTCCTTCGCAACAGCAAATATGGAACACTTGGCAATTAGCGGAGGAGCCTGTTAGGGGGTCAGGGAAGATATTCCTTGTGGGACATGCACAGACCCCTGTCGACAAAGCCATGACATGACATTGCCAATCCCTATAATGCAGTTACTTGGTACACATACTTACATAGGTTAGTGTTTTATACCCAGGACACTGACCGAGGCTCTGGGAGTCCCTAAGTTTCAGTACCCTCTGTCAGACATGTTGGACCCCCTTCGTCACATTTCTGGAGCCACCACTGATGGAAATTACAGGCCTAGGCATGTAGGGATATTTTTAGTCATAAGAAAAATCGTGGTTTCTGACATGACCCTGGGATTGAACAACTGGCATATTAACCACCCATCTACAGCTAGACTCCAATATATAATACAGTATTAGTAATAAGAACAAAAATAATTATTAATAATAATGAAAAGGTGCATTTTATAAATAACAAATTAACAAGTCTGTACATTTTGCATAATCAATTAACAGCCTGAGGGCTAGAGTGTTCGCAAACACTGTGAATCCTAGCAAACATATGGTTGACGGCTGAACAGTTAGTAAACAATATTCTGTTAAGCCCGTAACCGAATGCTAAAGCAAACACTAGTTCATCCTAGCAAGCTTGGTTATTTATATTATATTTTGTTATAATCTTTGGCTGAATAAAATATGAATAAGGAAATAATGTGGGATTGGTTCTGGGGTGTTTATTTGAAGATCATATGCATTGGATATATATATCTGTGAGGTTTTTATTTCAATTCTTGAGTTGTTATTTGAACATTTTTTTAACAAATGAATAAAAATAAATACAATTCTTGTTTGTCTACCCTGATCACAGCCAAATATATGTTGATAATTATCAGAATTTGATATTTTAAAACACAAATAAATTTAGGAGGATGAGTCTTGCAGTGTTGTAAATTTTTCACACTATTGATAAGGTAAAGTACACCCAAAGTCATCATTAAGCTTTGTCTACACTATAAAATGTTATCTGACAAATAAATGTGATATGCCCATATTTGGGTGTAATATAACATCACTATGCCCATATATGGGCTCATCACACAATTTTGTCACATACAATTTGATAGTATGGACAGAGTGTAGGGTTTGGTGAGTGGAGTTGAAGATTTTGGTTGTAAGAAACAACGCCCCAAGCAATGACAATCACAGCTCCAAAATAACCAATGCCAAGCTTTTCATTGAATACATTCAAATACACATCAAAGGAAAATTGGTACAGGTAGATCTGAATGGTGAGATGATTATATAAACACTCAAACAGGGAAAGGGGAAGGCCTGCATCAAACTACATAGACATACGAAAGAGCAAAACTGGGCTCAGGAACACTATTGAGATAAATTCTCTTATGGAGTATAGGAAAAGCTGGAAAAATTCATTTGGTTATCACCATGGGGAGGGGGGCATTAAAATAAAAAGTAAGATTGTATAAAAACTACTTATACAATTTTAACTGTTTACAAGACAACATATTCAAATATAATAGCAATGCTATAAATGTACAATAGCTTAGTGAAAGCATGTTTCATATGCACACTAAATTTTAAGTGATCAAAAATTAATAAAACAGTCATGTGAATGAAAATGTTAAAAAGGTAAACTACAAGCATTTTCTGTTATGGTTGACACCTCTAAACTTGCCACCAGAAGTGAACCTAACAGAGCACCCTAGATCACAAATTTTAAGACCCTGGATTTATAAGTTCATAGGTCCCTCATGTTTGGGCAACACAAACATTGTTTTGGAATAATAGTATCTATTATTAACATGACAGATTGTAATATAACAACTGGATGGGCTGGAAGAGACAAGCACAGACAATTACACAACCAGAGGGTAGCAAAAAATGTGTCCCAAAAAAAATAACATGGTAAAGATAGGAACAAAACTAAGTGGGACCAATTGTACATTGACAATAAAAGGCGTATTGGGCTGACATCAAAATGATCACCTTTATTTTCCATCCAACCACGAGAAAGCCTGTTGGTTGCCGTACCTACAACGACAGATTGGGATGTTTTATCATATTTTTATAATAGTCCATTATACAATTCTCAAAAGATAAATGTAAAAGATAAAAGTATAAGTGTGAAATGTATCTCTGAAAGCTGGCATTAAATATATTGATAGAAGATACTACAAACAACTAATAAATAATAAAGGAACTGAAGGAGCAGACTTCATGTTTGAAGTAAGCTCTTAATCCTGTTTTCCACTAAGCGAATTTATTCGCGCAAATCAAAGTCGTCGGTTCGGTTCCTGAGCTCTGATTTGTTGCGCACTTTTTTCGCTTTGCAAAAAGTAGAAACAGTTTGAACTACCAATTTCGCTGAAGCGAAAACGCCGATAGAAATGTGAATGTTCATGAGCCAATGCTTTTGACTCGCGTGAATAAATTCGCAAGTGGAAACAGGCTTTACAGCAGAAAACACTATATAAAATATCAGGAGTTATGAAACTAACAGAAAATGTTTGTCAGGCTATAATAACAGAAATGTATCACCATACTTATAGTCTCTCCATTGCTATCAGTTTGACAAATATCTGTGGTTTGCACATAAATGGGCATGTTGTCATGTCGCATCAATGTATGGCAGGCCTCGAATTTGGGGATTTTATGGGCAAGGCCAAATGGCCTCCGGTATGACATGATTTTGAAAGGCACCAAGGCCAAAATTTCAAATATGAAAGGGCACCAAGGCAAAATTTGATTTCCCTCAGTGCTAATCTCTCACGGATGCCTTGATTCGTAGCCAGGCTAGGCCTCTAAACTGGCCGTCATCAACTAGATTAGCTGAGTGTCAACCAATTAGGTTAATTTCACACGCTTGAGCTGCGATGACGTCAGATCACCCAAAGCTAGCTAGCTGCACAGCAAGCACGTTTACTGCAATTACCACTCGAGTCAGACACATGCGCACACAACGGTAACCGCAAAAACAGTTCGTATCAACACACATGGAAATTCTCTCATGTTCTGTCACTGCAACCTTATCTACACCTAGGCTAGCCTGGGCGACCTACGTTTTGGCTTTCGTGTTTTCTTTCAAGATTTGAACGTTCTTATTTAGATTTATTTTACGTGTCAAACGATCTATATTAAGCGTTGTGAGGGCACCAAGGCCATGGCTGCAAAAGGGCAGGCAAGTAGTGGGCGTCGTCGTGCTTCATTTTCAGGGGCACCAAGGCCAGCTGGGAGGGCACCGTCGGCAATGGCCGTGGTGGCTGCCGTAAAATTTGAGGCCTGGTATGGGCAGATCACAGGTACTTCTCACTTAGCCCTTGTTATTTTAGACAGAGTAACTTTTGTTGTCTGGTGCACACTTACTTTGAGGCCCAGTCTGTACGTCCATGTACTGCTTGAGCTGGTCTCATACTGGTTGAGTTGTTACTTGCTGCAGGCCTTGTTGCCTTCCATGAACTATAATCTGTAAGTATTTAAACAACTCCATTATTATCATGTTTTGCGCAACCTATATAATAAGAGGGAGACACCCAGAAATCGGCAGTCGTCTGCACTCACACAAAAAAAAAATTCTCTCAGAAACACATCTGTAAATTCAGAAAGTTTGCATGGTTTTACTACTGTACAATTTTCTTCCAGAATTTAGCTGCCTATATCACTACATGCAGCAAAATATAGTACGTGTTAAGAAAAATTGTTAACACATTCGCTGCCAGTGTCGAGTATACTCGTCCCACTGGTTCTTCCTGAGGGCACTGGGGACAGTTATACTCATCAAAACTGGAGTAACATTCTAGTGTTTATTACTTCATTGTTATACATTGTAGAACCACAGACTTAACGGCTGGTAGTTCGGGGAAGATACACCTAGATGATAACTAACATGCAAATAACCTATGTATATTTGTTGTGTTATGTTACTGGCAGTACAAAAGACTGCAGAAGTGGGGGAAATGAGAAAACAGACAGTTGGCAGAGGCAATAAAGAGTATTATTTCACTGCCAGTGACAAGTTTACACCCTAATATTTTCCCGCTAATACATGTTATTACCATTATGATATGTGACATGATGAAATTTAAGTATTTCTGCAGTTATCACTCATGTACCCTAGATTTGTGTGTGAACAGTTGCTATTCAGAATGGTGTAACTGTGTTAATTATGTTTATTTTCAATTGATGAGAATAATGAAACTGAACACCTACCACTGACACCTTGCACCCTACCACCTTGAATCTCTCTCTGACCAAATGTTGGCATGTAACTGCTACCACCATAGTTACTTCCACTGTATCCACTATTGTTCCTCCGACCATAGCTACTTGACCCTGGACCTAGTGTTTACACGACAATGAGACAATGATTGTCACAAAAAATGTCCCCATCAATTAAAACATTTATTAACACTTGCCTTTGTGAAAACCCAATTAATTTTATCCGTCCATTCAAAGCTTGTGGTACACCAGGTCAATTTGATGTATTAAAGAAAATATATCTGAAGTGATATTTTGACAAAAAATTGGTTTCCAAAAGTTTCTAATGAGTTTAATATGTATATTTCATAGTAGCAAAAGTTCTGAGTTGAGTAACCTAAGGTAATCATTTTTTGAGGCACATTTTGTAAAGCTATTTTTCAGAATTGATAAGAAAACCAACACAAAATTGATCAGTTGTTTACCTTTAGAAGCGATTTTCCCATTAGTATGTTTTAGACATCTGAATTTTAAAATGATCTTACTCCGGTTTTACTCAACTTAAGAACATGATTTAAAGACCAAAATAAAGCTTATAGTCATCTATCTAAATATTATTGTTTTGTTATTGTTTTTATTTTACTGTATTTTATATATTGTATGTTTAAGACATCCTGTAATGGGCGATTCCGCTGTTAGATGTAATTGAAATAAAATAAAATATATCAATAACTAATTTTTCATTTTTTGTACCACAAGACCCATTTTGTCAAAACAGCTCACAAATGTGATACTGTACACCCATATTCGTGTGTAATATGACATCCATCATGTCCAAATATGGGTACATCACAGAAATTTGTCACATAAAATTTGATAGTATGGAAAGAACTTAATACACTGGCCATCTGTTCTCTTGCACCAGTAGTGATTTCACATTATCCTACAACCTCAATAAATCCACCCATATCCTAGTTATACATAGTACACACTACTGGACTTTTAGTTGTTTGCTTGATCATTCTAACATAAAATTCAGCTACAACATTCACTGTTCATTATTAATAGGAACTCTTGCACTAGGCCTTTCTTTACTTACCAAATATACTGTTAGTTCTTCCTACGCCTGCTTTGACTGGGGGTCTGCCTGCTGGAGAATCCTTCAATGGACTCTTCGAGTTCATTCCTGAAAAGAGAAATGTCCACAACTTGCTTCAATTTTAGCAATCATTTTTATGCACTAAATGATTCTATTACAAGTAGAAATAACTTGAGTTAATATAACTTAAGTTTAAAACTTAACAGAATTGGCAAGTATCATTAGTAAGAAATAACCACTGTATTCCTTACCAGGTAGGTAACGTGACTGCCTAAAGTAAAACTGTTTCGCAGATGAAGCGGACGAGTTACCAGACTCGAGCAAACGTCGGGCAGCATGAGATTGCACTTTGTTAATATTACTATAAGACGGTTTCTCTTTTGGTTCAAATAAATCATCATCACCCCAATCAAATGATGATTTTTGTTTTGCAGGTGGCTGTCTGGTTATTGGTGCAACAGGTTTATTCTTAATGGAACTCATAATAAAATCAAAATCATCTTCTATATTGTCCATGTTTGTTTTTCTAGCGTTTGTTTTTGTAGTGTCTGTTTTCGTTGCTTCAGCTTGATCCCAGTGGCGCCTTGGTTTGTTCGCCGGTGCAACTGCTTGTGCCGGTTTCTCTTTCTTTTTGCCAAGTGATGATAAGAAATCATCTAAATCGTCCTTTTTGTCCTCTTTCCTTTCCACTTGAGATGTCACATCTTTATTACCCATCACATTAGGCTTGGGGTTTTCCTGGCCATAACTGTATTTCTTTGATTCAATACTTTGTGGCTTAGTTTGAACTGGGGTTTTTGGTCCAAGATTTTGTCCAACTTGAAAGTAAGGATACTTCAAACACTGTAAGTTAAAAAAGTTAAAAATAATTACTTTATAATTAAGGAAGTACTGTATATGTATCAATATTTTTAAAACAAAAACTTAATACCAATTATTGAAAATATAGTATAATATTATAAACTAACTTGTAATAATAAACAAGTTAAATGATTAGAACCCTTGACACAGTTGAATCCGGGGCCAAGCATGAAAAGCATGCTGAGACACATACATAGTTCCCGTGAATAATCACTACCCACTCTTAACACCTCCGCATGTTTCCTTAATAAGGGGTTGTGAAGTATTTATTCAAAGTTAAGTATGTATTCTCAATAAGGTGTTGTACAGCACTAATTCCAGAGCAGAACTTATTTGAGAGAGGGATCTTTTGGATCATTTACACTATCCACATGCCCACCTCAAAAAAATTACTAAAGAAGAGCATAGGCTAAATTGCTGACTTGAGAAATAACAATTTCCAGTGTGAAAAAATATATTTTATGGAGTATTTAGTCATTAACAAATACAGGTGGTTTACAAGAATGGAACAATATTATTGAAGTGGTATTCTTCTATTTTGTCTTACAGTACGTTTAAGACAGTTCTTGCTCACTTCCCAACACAATGGCGGGGAAATTGTACGTTGCCTAACCTTTCTCTAGTGCAAGGCTCTGTTAACAATGGACATCACAGAAGGTGATCCATTGCCATTCACATATTTAGATTTGTTTTGTAGTCCCATGTAGGTTTGTCTTACATCCAGGGACGTCAAGAGGGGAAACTGTAACCGGGGAAAGGATTGGTGTGGGCCCTCAGTTACAAGCGAGTGTGAGAAAGATTGCGCTGAAGGCACAAAATATCTTTTTTGAGGGGTTCTGTCAATCTCAGGAGGTCCATTATTAGGGAACCGATGCCACTACTTAGGGACCCATAACAGTAATTATTTTTGAAAAAAAGTTTGAAAAAAAAAATGCTACCTGCAAATTTTTATGGGCCCCCTGGTAAGCTTGGAATCCCCCCAACCCCCACCCGGTCTCGGTGACACTGCATGTACCAATTACTGAGAGTAAGAAGGAACTACATTACACTACTTTACCTGCGCTGCTGTTGGCCTCTTCTGTGGGTTCCAATGGAGCATATCTCTGAGTAGATTGAGAGCCTCCGGGCTGGCGTTACCAATCAGTGATTTGAAAGGTGTAGGCACACACTGAGGAAACTTGAAATTCATCTGATTTGCTAGTTGGAAACCTTCTGGCCAATCCATCTATAAAAACATTTATTTCAAATTTCGTAAAACATTTCCGGGTAAAGCTACATTTGTATAACTAGTGTAAAATGTAGCTTAAGAGAAAAACACATTTGCCACAAGTAATGCTGAGGTAGTCTTAGGCCTAATTTCACAGTTTAATTGCCAACCACCATTCTCTCATTCTTGCTGATTGATAAATGGTTTCCACAAGTCTAACAAATCTACAATTTAGGTTAATAATGCTTCAAATTTATCTTTTGACGCTTGCAATGTTGCCTTTGCCAAATAACATGCAAGAAATACCAACTCTATTTTTATTGTACAATAAGCAATTTGTAGTGAGGATAACGCTTCAAATTTATCACTTGAAGCTTGCAATGTTGCCTTTGTCAAATAACATGCAAGTACAGTAATACAAACTCTATTTTTATTTCTAAAAAGCAATTTGTTGGGATGGCATCATTACGAACAACCAAAATGTTAACTAGGGAATTGACTCCCTCGTGTTAAAAGCTTATTTTAGATATTAGACTTGGATGGACAGTCACAAGTTTGATAACATGATGCTATATGAAATGTGAGTAAACAATAAAGTAACTAAACCTTCTTTGGTGTTCCTAATACAGAGCACACTTTGAAGATTTCGTCCACCTCACTACTGCCTGGGAAAAGTGGCCGTAATGTGTATAATTCTGCCATTATGCAACCCAGCGCCCATATGTCAATCGGAGAATTATAGTTAGTAGAGCGAAGTAGTACTTCTGGTGCGCGGTACCTGAAAGTTTACAAATAATATGAAATAAAAATAGTAGCCAATAAGTATTAGGGAGGGAATAGAGGTCTAACTTTCAGGTTGTCTTTGAAACGCAATATTATCTTGAAAAGACTAGTATGACCATGACTTAGACGCTGTCCTTCACGAAAAGCGTTCTTTAAAGTTGTTTTAATCCAACACATTCTGCATGTAAAGAATGCTTGTTTGAAAAACTCAATTCATATTATAATTAGAACCCCCAATAACTTACTGGTGGTAATATTGTGTTTCGAAATCAGGATATTAGGACCTCTTTCCATTTTATAATCTTTGCTCGCTTCAAGATTTTTAATGTTGGTTCTTAAAGCACTTTAATTTCACTTTATTAGAGGTTTTCAAAAGCACTTTATTTAATTTAAAAGTGGTTTCTAAGAAGCACTTTATTTACTTAACTTAAAGTGTTTCATAAAAGGACTTTATTAATTTTATATTTCTTGAAAAAGAACTTCAATATGTTTCACTTTCCCATTTAAAAGTCACTTTGAGTGTTAAAAAATATACAAATATTGACACAAGCTACTGCCCTGTATGCAAACACAAACATATCCATAAAATGCATCAAATCCTATGCAAATACATTCCATTATTTATCCACAGAAAACAGATGTTCTATGGACAGTGACTGGACAAGATTGAATCTATCTATAAACTATATTTCTCATTCTTTCTTCTCTCTCTAATGTTTAATTTCTTGTTCATCTAGGTTTACAATTCCTTCTTCTTCTCTGTCTACCTAATATTATTGAACAAGGAACAATAATACAAAACAACTCATCTAGGAATCATCCTAAGCCTACTATATGCATTACAATGGCCTGTTGCTAAACTTGGATGGAACGATGCATTTGCGATGTCACCACAGATCTAGTTGAAGGTGCCTAAGGCTACGTCCGAGCATGCACCAGATTCGTAATTTCAGAAATGGGATATTATGTAATCGTGTATGCTAAAACAGCTCTAACATTATATAAAATTGGTAATCTTCTCCTTTACTGTCACATACCATCTTGTTGAGACATAGTCTGTATATGGTGGCCTTGAGCGGATCTCTCTTACAAGACCAAAATCAGCTATTTTCACTAACTCTGGTCCAGTACATAACAAATTCTCTGGCTTCATATCACGATGAAAAAATCCTAAAATTTAAATTATAAACTGTTATTTATTTTACTATTTGGAAAAGACTTATTAATTACTGTATATTCACTTTTTTTACAGTATACAAAATATTAAAAAATTCATATACAGTATTGTACTACTATCATCACAATATCCAATTATTTCTTTGTCACTAATTCTAAAATCTGATATTTGCATGACTTAAAAGAAATTAACACTTTGCTTGCTTCATGGTCTACTTACCATGTTTGTGAATGAATGCTAGCCCTTGTAAGATCTGATATAAGATGTTCCGTATTACAGACTCTGGTAATAAACGATCTCTGAAGACGTAAAAACATTACAAAATTGAACATTTACATCTAGATCTATAGTACTTGGTACAAGTTACATAACAATAATAAAAGTAAAAGTACTAAATATTAGCTATATATTTCTGTCATTTCATTTTCACTTTTATCCACTGAAATACACAATAAAAAGTTCTTCTAAATGAAAACATAAATTTAACATTGTATGCGAAACCAGAAATTGAATCATTCTATTAAAGGAAGATTAAATTCCTTAATTAAAATGCTTGCATTTTGTATACCTAAATTAAATTTCTATCAAGGCCTTGTACAATTTAGAATCATTAAGCATGCATGCACCATCATATTTATATTAACTTATTGTTACTGGTCTGAGTCCTAGTCATAAAACTAAAAACTAATTTTCTCAGAAATCCATTAAAACTCATTTACAATCATGCGTGAGAAATACAACGTACCGGTAGACAAAGTGCCTTACTCAAGGTCACAAGCTACGTGCAACAAGAAGGAATTTGAGGTTAAGAAAAAACAAACTGTTGCTGCTGCACCAAACCACTTCTAATAGTGTGTAGGGATGAAATTATTGCAGGGTGGGATGTACGGTGGTTACATTTTGAATCGTCTTATTTTCAAAGACAACTATACTAGTGTAGTGAATGGGAAGTGTTCATTGTGTTTTTTCTTACCTATCTTTCATTAGCTGATATAGGTTTTCTTTCATGAATTCAAAAATAAAATAAAGATGATCGTTTTCCCGGATAACTTCTTTCAATTTCACAATATTTGCATGGTTCAATTTGCGTAAAGACTGAAAGAGAATGATGAAATAGGAGATAATTGGAATCATTACCCTTGCCTCTCTGAAAAAGAGGTGAGAGTGTTGTAATAGTGCGCATCTGTGTGTGTGTGTCTGTCTGTCTGTATGTGTCCTTTTGGGTCCATAACTAGACCATTTTACTTCAGATTTTCACACCTTGACAATGTTACATGTATTTTGGTCCTCCACAAATTTGGAGCTGATCAGAAGCAAAATGCAGATTTCAGAACGTTATTTATATATTTTCTGGCCGCAACAGCCAACAGAGCCAACTCGAGCGGATCATTTGACCGAGTCGTTTGGCTAGGCCGAGCCGACTCGTGTGTCAACCTCTGGTTGGCGGACTGGAAGCTGTCCAGACGGCGTTCTAACTCGCCCGATTGATGGGCTTGCCATGTGAGGCCTATGCTGCCCCACACTATGATAAAAGGAAGTAATTGACAATTTTTCAAAAATGAGTTTTTTAGTCACTGTCAAAGAACTAATAATTTGGAACATATTGATATATTTGAGTATGTTCAAATGCAGCTAATTAACAAGTAATTAGCAACACAAAAAGGAAGAGAGAGACTAAAAATACGGTAAAAACCTCCAGAAAAGGAAGCAGGGGACAAAATCAACATGCTCCATATTCATTAATTACTCAAAGCACAAACATCAGTTGCTCCTTTTGTTATGGTGGGGCAGTATGATGCTAGGCTTCGTTTGACGGATGGAGCTGTTCAAGGAAATCGACTATATACATAAATATGGTTTGTTCATGTGAATCTAGTAATCACAGGAGCTACACTGGTGTTAATGTAGCTTCCTTTAATAGCGAATAATCACAAATAATGGATTCTAGTTGTTCTTATCAGTTGACTGGAATAACCGCAGCAGGGTCACAATGCACATCATGACCCCCAATAAAAATATGGTGCAACTGGTTTGAAAATGTGTAATCTCAGATTATAAGTATTATCATTGCAATCTGTACTTTGTGGCAATAGTTTACTGAGTGAACATATTAAATAAGGTTATATTTACCTTTACTTCCCGCAGTTCCATACATTCATCCCATGAGTAATATTTCTTCTTCATCCTGAATAAAAATTATTGAGTCTAACTTTAAAAATGGTAATCTTTAATTAGATTTACTTTAATAATATTAGTAAATAAAATACTTAAAATATTTTTGGTGATGTACAGGTTACTAAGAATTACTGCTTTTACATCTAAGAATAGTTTTCATCAATTGTGAACATGTTCTAATATAAAATACAACATAGTTTATGTTAGATATATCAAGATTATACCCTAAGGTAAATTTAATTTATAATTACTTTTAATAATTCTAGTAGTCTATAATAATATATAACAGGCTACTAAGAATTAATGCATTCATGCTTAAAAATTGTGTCACTTAATTATTAATTAGTTGTAAACATCTCCAAAGTGCACAGCAAACAAACATGTCTGCTAAGCATACAGGAGGCCAAATTTAAAAAAATTATGTATCTTGAACTTATTCACTTCCCTATTCCATATCAATTATTTTGAAACACCGTTTTTAATCAGGAGGCAAAACACACATAATTGAAGAATGATATTACAGTACAGAACTTGGCATTAGGCCTACTATTATGGAAACTTTACAGAATAAATTCTTACTTTTTGATAGCAACCATTTCACCAGTCTCATTACTTTTGCCGAGAAGAACACTGCCGTATGTCCCATCCCCCAGCTGTCTCATTGTCTGGTACCGATTCATGGCTTGCAGTTTAATTATGTTTTGATTTTAAAGTACAGTGTCTATAGTATCGTCAAATATTTGTTCCATGTCTTGGCTTTATGTTTGAAGAACCTATTGAAAAAAATAGAAATCATTTTAAAGAATTCGAGATAAGTATAGCTGATGCTAGACACTATAAATTAATACACATTTAAAGAGTATGGTCAAATAATTTATAATAGATTTAAATCCTCTCTAATGTACTGCAGCCAAGAATCTTAGAAACAGCAAAATACTATTAATGATAATAATAATAATATTTAAATTTCCTCATTAACAAATATAGGAGGAGGGCGAATCCAAGGAAGAACAAGGTTCCTGTACAAGGTTTGGCAACCCCACAAAATTAAATATGATAGAAAAAAAAAACAGTCACACAACCGCAAAGACAGCCTGCAGAAGTACAACGTCAGATCATTGCTTAGATTAACCATGTACTGCACGACGATAGTAAAGATAGTTAATGGAGTTACAGCAGTTACAGTAGGCCTAATGTATGTATACCGATGGAGAAAACAAACAATCTCAGATGCGAACAAAGGATCAAGGCTTACTATAAATGCTGCCTTTATTTGTAGTATCTAATCCTAGGCTAGAGGCTAGGCCAAATTGACTCATTACTAACAATATAAATTAAAATTTTCAAAAGAAACAAGGGTTGAAGGTCAGCTTAATATTAAATTCATAATTTATTTATTCTTTCTTTTGACTAGATAATTTTCAATACTAGCGTACGGTCTCCCAAATGGCCCAGTTACTTTCTGAAAAATATAAACATAATTAATTAACAAAATTATTTTTAAAATAATTAGATAAGCATTGTTATTGAGAGAGGTGAGACGTTTAAGCTGTTGGGCTATGTGCAGTGTGAAACGTGCATAATGCAGTACTCCTTTGGAAAAGAGTAGGGATTTCCTCGCTGTAGTCACCACCAGGAGGACCCCCCCCCCCAATGGAAATAATAATAATAATAATAATATGTTAGATTTATATAGTGCTTAACGCTAACAAGGCTTCTAAGTGCTTCACATTACTACCCCCGGAAATAGACTTCTTTAGATTTTTGTGGGTCATCCTTGATGTTTACACAGAATATTATATCCAACAATTCATTTTCAGTCCATTTGCATCACAAATTTTATAGCTACTCTAAGAATAAGATATGTTGACAAAATAGCTGTGGACAAATTGTTTAATCTAAATCATATCTATTTGTAGCAAAGACAAACCAAACCAGTCACTGGTTGCAAAAATTGATTTTTATTTATTAATACAGGGTTAAAAAGTAGAATAATTAATTTTTCTTCTTCTCTGTTGTTGTTAGGCGCCTTGAGGTTGTGTCAACGTGAGGCGCTATATAAATCCAGAATTATTATTATTATTTATTTAGTTCAAACATGTGGCTGTTTAAAGAACAAAGTTTATGATTTTTACATTTCTCAGGCATAAACCATCACTAAATTGTTAAAAATTGTTGTTTTAACATTGAAAATGGGGAAAACAACAGCATAGCATGATATATAGATATATAAAACTTAGTTTAGTCATGTTTAGTGCAATAAAACAGATTTCAAAAATTTCAGCATGCTTTGGCTATTATCTCTGAAATGGGATTTGCGACGAGTGACTGGTTTGGCTTTTCTTTGCCACATTTTAGCATAATGTATGATTGTCAGCAATTTTACAAAAACACAATAACTCCATGAGTAGAATAATAGGTTATCTTGGAAGTGGTGATCTTAATAGTGGCATTAAAGGTTTGTTTAATACCAAAAAATAGGTTTTTAAATAACGTAGGTTATTTAAAAACATACCTTATGTTTCTACATTGACAGTATGAAAAAATTAATTTTCTTTGCCACATTTTAGCATAATGTATGATTGTCAGCCATTTTACAAAAACACCAGAAATGTAGAATATGTACAGTCTGTTAAAATTCTGATGTGCCCATCTGTAACCATCCTCTACAATTAACCATTACCATTAAAAGTATGGAATAGAACTTTTCAGAAATGGCAAAGCCAGACTAGGCACAGTCACCTAAAATACAGTAGCCAAATGAGTAAAGAATTAGTTGAAATCGGACTAAAAAAAAGTAACTTTAATGTGGTGAATTTTTAAAATTAGGATAAAAGTTCATTATCTACAAGATTATGACACAAGATTAATGATGATACTACTCTACTAGGCCTAGGCTAGCTGAATAATCAAAATCTTATTATTATGCTGCTGAAGTAGGTCTGTCATGGTTGTCATCTAGCTGATTATCAGCCATAGGCCTAGCCTATCTATCCTATATATACTACTAAGTACTAAACTTGGTGTACGCCTAGGCCTAGGCTAGTCTACCAAGGCTCGCCTAGGCCCCTAGACTAGGCTACTAAAGTAGTAGGCCTAAGCTAGGCTACCTAGCGAGATTGGAAAAGGCTAAAAATGTAGATTTATTACTACTTATATAGTATGGAATTCTACACAACATCGTATATAAACTTGGACGTAGGTTATTTAAAAACATACCTTATGTTTCTACATTGACAGTATGAAAAAATTAATTTATTACATGAACAAATAATGTCCGTCAAATCAATCCATACGTCCCGAAAATGACTGATGGATCAGCTTGGCCTATATATTATTGCATATCCATAACAACAAAATATACATTCTACGTTTCCCAGCACAGCGCCACCAATATAAAGCGAGTACGACATTCACAGTCAAAAATCAATAATTTAGTCTTGTCCTTAGTTTAATAATATTATACAGTAATAATAATAATAGACCTATCTTATTTTGCTGTTTTTAGCATTATTATTTTGTCTTGTTTTTTATTTCAGCAATTTTTATTAAAAATGTAATCCGCTGATGTTTATGAATAACATTCTGCGTGGCAAAATCTGAAATTGCTATAAAAGAAAAATAGTTAAAATTTAGTTTCTCTTGTATACCATGATGGAGTCGAAAATTCGTTCTTTTTAAGCTTTAGATTATCGAACAATTCAGTTTTTGATTCATAAGTTTTAGCCATACAAAAACCCTGAATATGATTTACCTGTCGTATTATTTATGCCAATTAGTTGGCCAGTTAGCGCACCCTCCACAACAAAATTTTCTTATTTATTTTCATTACGCCCTCCGCTCCAGACATCTCCAAAAAATGATACATATTTCTTGCTTAATTATATAAATTTAAAGCATCAATCTGCACTGTTTACATTCATTAATAAAATATTATTTTAATTTTTCTCAGAAAGTTGGTCCACACTAGTATGTGATAAATATCAGTACTGCAATTCGAATTATGTTGGTATATGATCTTTGTCAGAAAGCAAGACCACGCTGTATTTGATCAATTTCGTAGCATGCAGTATGTGATCATTGTCAGTGAAAAGTCGACCACATTATTATTAGTAATTCAAAACGCATTGGAACATGGTCATTGTCTGGACCATGTTGGTATATGATTACACTGCGAGTCAGACCAGCTGTCCTCCTATGCCTTTTGGACCCCACTGGCACCGCTGCTGTTGGACTGATGCTTTGGAAAGTCCATTGTCAGTCAGACCTGGGGAAGATTTGGGGAGGGGCGGGCGGGCGAACCTTTTTTGGAATGGGGAAAAAGGAAAAGACATTATTGATCTCCTCAGAGGCTGCTTTCAGGGCATCTAATGTTGTCTCTCGATTACCCACCCCCACATATTGGACATCTCTGGATACGCCCCTGCAGACTATGTTGGTATGTGGTACAACAGTGATCCAGTTTATAATGTTTTTTTGTACTGTAGTATCATAAGTAAATTTGACCAAGTTTTTATATATTTTGAATTTTTGTGTCTAGTCGTTCATGTTAGGATGGATGGAAATGTGACAGTGATTCTTTTGCTTTTTATTGTGTTTCATGTATTATTGTAAAGTAATTTGATGACAGTTTTTACAAGATATATAATATAGTAGACAACAAGTCAAACAAGTGTTTCCATCTTGGGCTCTCAAATAGATATTTTTTTTATTCTAATGAGGAAACACTTGATAATTATACATTTAATACACGTTAGTCTGTGGTAAAAAGTTCAATAACATTCTCATCTACACTGGTATTTGTCAGTTCTGGAAAAATACAAAACTGCCACCAATAAACAAAAATTAATAATATAATTATATATTTAAAAAATCAATTAGAGTGATCATATTTTCCAGTTATCTGTTAGCTGGCTTTCATCATTGCAAAATGTAATGACATTTATTAAAAATACAATGTAACTTAATTTACTTTTCTAAGTTGATACATGTTGGAATCAAGCATGTTGAGTGTCTTTATATTAGCAAAGAGTATAGAATTGCTTTTCTATACTCTTTGATATTAGTCACCTCAATCAAGTCATTCGCACTTCTGTTTCATCTTAAGAAAAGAAGTACAACATGAATTTATAACTCTATAATGGGTCATTTAATTTTAAAGTCTAAATTTTGAAAAAATCATGCACTGGGCTTATTTATATTGAGATAATTAATTTCAACAACATTCACATACATTATACACCCTTATTTTTATCTATACATTCAAAAGGAAGCAGGCTCAAATTCTGGCAAGCAACAACACACTGAATTACTTTCCCAATACAGTATATATTTCTATCTGATACCAGCACATCCAATTGTCAAATGCCTAAAATGAAACAGGATGCATATATTTCAACATTTATTGTGGTAACATTTTGACATAAACAGGAGGATACATGCATGCCATAATGCCAATCACATGAGCAAATACAATTTTATCAGTTATGTTAATATCAGGGGAAAGTGCTTACCCCGCTATATGCAGCAATTAAATCTAGGCCGTGGATATTGTTTCGACAACATTATGTAATTTTAAGGTGTAGATTGGTGGAGCTGGCTTGACCCTAACCTTAAACTGCAGTCTCAATGCACTATGGCATGTTGGAAGAATATCCATAGTGTTAAATCTATTTTCATTTCCAACTGTGTTAATGTTAATATCCAGGGCCTCTTTACGTATCAAAGGAAAGTAATGGTCATTTGGCACACTGTACTGGCACAATAGGAAAGTGATTTCCAATCAGTGTAGCGAACTACTGTCTATGTTAATATTAAGAAAAACTGCTTGTTCCACAAACATGTTTTTACTGACGAATTAACAGAAAGTGCTTGCCCTTTAGTGTAGCACTTGTCTTTTGGCCCACTGTAGCTGGCCCAAAAGGTAAATTACTGCCACAAGTTGAGCACTTGCCAATTAACAGAAAGTGCTTGCCCTTTAGTGTAGCACTTGTCTTTTGGCCCACTGTAGCTGGCCCAAAAGGTAAATTACTGTCACAAGTTGAGCACTTGCCCTTTGGCATACAGTGTGCTGGAACCAAACATGCTTTCAGATATAGCAATATCAGGCCCACTGTACTGGACCCCCCAATTTTTACAGTGTGCTCAATATTTTCCCTTTGGTTGGTTTCGATATTTAAGGAATTCCCTTATAAATAAGAACATGATTATTAACAGAGTTAAATATATGTGACCTTTATAATGGCATAATATCCTGTTGACTGTGGACAAATTACATACTCTTAAATTACAGGTCTCATACACACCATTCATTAAAAAAAACCCCTAAATATTATATCTAATTGTGAAACAAAATAATAAACAAAAAAATAGCAAACATCAATTAAAAAATAACATTTATAGTTTACAAGTGAATATTATGTTTTAGTTACATGTAGGAAACTGTAAATTATTTGGATAATATAATCATTGTTACTTGCTCTAATCCTAACTAGGCATACAAATATACAAATAACAAAAGGCACCTCCGACATGCTGTTATCTCTGTGTAACTTCAACACATCATGGACACCGGCAATTCAAATGAGATGAACCCACACAGGTTAAATAAACGCTACCCAAGAATCAAAATGGTCAGAAAATTTATAGTGTTAAGTATATATATATATATATATATAAAATGTTGCCTTTGTCAGAATTCATAGACAGTTTGGAGCTAAATTTGTTGTGCATTGTTGCCGTTTTTTAAAATTTCCAATTAATTTGAATTGGTGTCACTCCAAAATGTGTTGCAAATGGGGCCATGTTGACAATAATTTATCAAGGCACTACATCAACATATGCTACTTAAGTGACCATGCAAACAGTCAAATATTCACTGCTGATGGTGCCATGTCAAAGGTCATATCACCATTAACTGCTCATGGTGCAATTTCAACCTTTGTTGCTCATGGTGTCTTCCTACCAGTGATTGCTCATGAGGACATGTCAACAGTCGATAGCGAGTTTTAGTTCTGGGACGAAACGCATCCTAGCAACGTATGGTAATGGACCTTTCCGCTAAGCCCCGCCCCTTGGATACTGTTGCTAAGGTCCCACAAAATGACAAATGTGAATTTGTGGGACAACATGTCTGTTTGTGAAACATGTGCGTATTTCCTGGCCCTGTTCAAATAGGTAAGTTTGCCACGCTCGAAAGGTCCATTATTTATAAAATCAAAAATCAAATTCAAGATTTCTTTCTTTGTGAATATAAATTTATGAACCATAACTTACAAAACAATAGGCAAAAAAATATGGATAATGTTCTGTTTAGATTTGCAACACTACAATAACACAACCCAAGCCCGATAGCTAAATCAAATGAGATGACGTGCGAGCTTGTTTTTTTAGTGGTCAGAAAAGCACAGTCTGCAACAATGGATTCCAAGCTGAATGAACTCAACATTATAAATTTAATTACACATGCACGCACGCCTCACGAATTCAATACATCCCGTATTACTCATCTCGGAACTAAAACTCACTATTGTTCATAGCACCAGCCAACTTTAATTCCATCCCATTTTGTGTTTTCATGATGCCATTTCAACATGCATTTTTGATGGTGCCATGTCATTACCACCATGTAATAATAGATGAATGTACCTGTAACAATAAGTCACCAAGTACATAAAAAATTTAGTCTCCTTGCTAGAGACAATGGGCCGATAAAAAAAAATTTTGCGATTTCCTTTAAAGCAGTATCACCAACTCGTCTTGGCTGATAATAAAGATCTATCTATAAATATAATTGGCTGATACGGCAAGTCCGTCTGTACAAACGCGTGTTTCTAAGTGGTAGACACTGCAGGTCCATCTGTACATATAAGTGTTTATAATTGACTGATATTGCATGTTTTAGTCTGTAAATAGAGATATTTTCTGATTGGCTGAAAGTAGAGGTTTATCTGCAAATATTTTTATAAAGTACCTGATAATGCAGGTTTGTCTGTTCTGAGAGGTGTTTTGTAAATGATCCATCTGTACATATGGTGTTTTCTGATTGGCTGATACTACAGGTTTGTTTATATTTACAATAGGTGTTTTCTTATTGGCTAAGGCAGGTCCATAGGTGCCCCGGTGTTAGAGAACGCATTCATCAATCAACTTTGTCAAAAGCATAGTGCTTGATTGAAGTTGATGTCAACGCAGGCTGAGAAATGATGATGCTTCACTGATGTTCAATCACGTAGGGAAGATGAAGGAGAACATATTAACAACATTTACTCTTTTCTTTATTCCTGTCTTGGGCGGGGTCAACATAGGTTGATGCCTGGGTGTTATTGGACACTGGATACTGAAAGAAAAAATAACATCCAAAATGATTATTTAAATTTTATTCAAAATAATGAATGCATGTAAACTTATGTCCACATTATCAAGATGCTACAGTTATTATCATTATTATTATTATATAATTCATTTTTTCTTATTATAATTTACCATGTAAAGCTTATCAACAGCTGAAGGTCATTACCCTTAAACATGACTCAGGAAGCTTAACTGGAAAACAGGAGAAGGCTAAACCCACTAGGAATTTTAATGTAAGGGTTTGTTGGGAATAATAAAGGATGAGCTGTGCTGATACATTTCAGTGGTAAAGCATGGTCATTCAATGTTGATACATGTATATGAGCCTTTTTTAATCTTCTTTTACTGAAAGTGCTCTTTTGTTTGGAAATTATATACGGTTTGGTAATTTAAGGAAACACGATTATAACAGACTACAACGTATCATATATCAGGCTGGAAAAATTCTACAACAAAATAGACAACTAGATGATATCTGTGAGATTGAAATTATTGATGTAAAGAGTATTTTAACAGATAGTTCCCACCCACTAAATGCATCTTTTACTTGGCTACCCTCGGGTAACTGCTGTTGAAGAAATTACCTAGCTTAAATGTAAATTCTAATATTATTATGTGGATCCAAGATTTTCTAAGCAACAGAGTACAATATGCAAGTTTTGCTGGAACTTTTTCAGACCCCATCACTACACAGATTGGATCACCTCAGGGATGTGTGGTTTCTCCACTACTATTTATTATTTATACTGATGACTGCAGATCCAAAAATGAAGATGTTAAGATATTGAGATATGCAGATGACTATCATATGTCTCATGAAATCAAACTCTGTTTCTAACTATGTGAATACTGTCGCGAACTTCTCATTGTGGTGTAAACAAAACTGTTTAAAACTGAATGGGAAAAAAACAAAAGAACTCAAAATTGACTATAGGAAAGGAGAAAATAATGTTGTATCACTTGTTGACAATTTTGAGATTGTTACTCATCAAATACCCAGGTTTAGAGATTGATAATAAGTTAAACTGGGGGGGGGGGAGCAGTGTGATAAAATTGTTAAGAAGGGTATGACGCGATTCCATTTCTTAAGGAAATGGCGGTCATTCAATGTTGATACCGGTACATGTATAATGAGCCTTTTTTATTCTTCTTTTATTGAAAGTGCTCTTTTGTTTGGAAGTTATGTATGGTTTGGTAATTTAAGGAAACACGATTATAACAGACTACAACGTATCATAAATCAGGCTGGAAAAATTCTACAACAAAATAGACAACTAGATGATATCTGTGAGATTGAAATTATTGATGTAAAGAGTATTTTAATAGATAGTTCCCACCCACTAAATACATCTTTTACTTGGCTACCCTCGGGTAAAAGGTTAAAATCACAAGTCTGTAGAACAAATAGATATCTTAATTCAATCGTACCACTTTAATAAAAATATCAAATAAGTTTTATGGCCTAATTATAATTTATTTTCTCCACTACTAGCTATTTATTATTTATACCGACTACAGCATTTTGTTTTGCGATGTGATGTACCAACCGATTTTCCGAAAGGACACAAATAAAGAATCTTGAATCTTGAATTATCATCATCATTGGTGTCTTGGCCCTCAACACGTTACTCGACGGAGCTGGCTTTCTAAAAAGCAGTCTTCGACAGGAATTGGAAGCAGCAACATCACAAACAGCCACTGCCTAAATCCTAATGTGCGTACAACCCCAGCTGGGATCCACCCACTGGTGCACTTACCTTTTTGAGAATGTCTTCTGCCAATGTCATGAAAGCAGTCTCTACATTGATGTTTGTCTTTGCACTTGTTTCCATGAACTTAATGCCATTTTCCCGTGCAATCTACAAAATGAAGAAAAATTTCAAAATATAATTACGGTACATGCCAATCTGTATCTATGCATGGAGAAAATGAAGATTGGCACTGAACCACAGAACCGGCCTAGCAAAATAACATGTGTGTTTGTTTGGTATGTACTGTATGTACGCCTGTCGCTGTTTTGATTGGTCAGTTGCCCAGTATTATTGACACTCTGAAAAGGTCCATTGGGTCTGAAGAAGCAGCGACAGCTAGTAATGATTGCAAGTGTAAACAGGGCTTAAGCCTCACCTTGCCTCAAACCACACCTTGCATCTATTGGTAGTAAAGGATGGATGGATATATTTGGAGTAAACACCAAGGATAACCTATGGAAGTCTGAAGAAGACTTGGGGTCTTTCTGGTGGAAATTGGGCAGCACACCAGGAAACAAATCTCTACTCTTTTTTGAAGAGTGTACTGCATTTTTTAACATGCACATAGGCCATAATGCACATAAAACAACGGCTTAAACATCTCATCCAAAAGACGGTACCCTATCGTAACTTGCATTTCAGCCCTCTAGCTGAAATACAAGGAAAGCAGCGATGGGAAATGAACTGGGGACCAAGAGATCTCCACAGTTCAACGCACACACAGTGGCTACCACCAATTTAGCCCACAGAGTTAATAATTATTATTATCATTATATGAATTTGTTGAGATACTTACCGATTCACCCCTCTCCTTGCTCACCATTCGTTTGTCATCCATATCACATTTGTTTCCAAGCAACATCTTTTCAACGTCTTCATTTGCATGCTATTAAAACAATTCAACAAAATTTAATTGATTAGTGCTATAGCATCTTGTAACAAGAGAACACAGTAGTAAAAACAAAGTACCATTTGTAACATCTGGTAGCAAGAAAGGTAACACATTAACAAGTAGTAGAGAAATACAACTGCAATAACTAGGAGTAATAAACATACAAATGGTAAGATTCCAATAGTAGCAAGAAAAACAACATTAGTTTAACTACTAACTGTACTGTCATCACCATTACAGTAGTAACAAGTGGTATTACAACAATAACATTATACTTAGTAGCAGCTAGTGGCAAGAAAGATATTGTACTGGCAAGAAAATACCAACTAGTCAGCCCGCCCCCCCCCCCTTTTGGGAGGTGAAAGAAAGAAAAATAAAAGAAAGAAAAAGAAAAAAATGATAGCCCACAACGCCTCAAAAGTTATTTTCTGGCGTCTAGAACACAAAAATTTTGCGGACCCCCTAGGACATTGTGGTCTCGATCGGCCCAAATTTCTTCCCCCCTTTTTCTCCCCCCCCCTTTCGGGGGCCCCCCTTTTGGACATCTCTGGATCCGCCCCTGCTAGTGGCAAGAAAAATACTATCCAATTAGAGGAAAGAACAACATCATTATGGTAGCAGCTAGTAACAAAGATACCAGAAATTATTGGCAAAATACCATGACAATTAGAGGCAAGAACAATGCCATTATGGTAGCACCTTGTAATGCCCCCTTCACACATTCACGATTGAGCATGATTGTTCAAATTTTGAAAATCCCAGTAGCGTCGTATTCAATTTTGTACGAATCGCTACAGTAGCACAAATTTAGAACTTTTGAAAATCTATCATAGCAAAAATTGTGAAATGGCTGAAAGGGGCATAAGAAAGATCTAGCAAATAATGGAAAAATACCATTAGTAAGTAGTAAGAGGCAAGAGAGATACCACGAGTAGCAACTTACTTCCTGAATGTTCCTTAGCCACTTGGCAATGTTATCGAATGTCTTCTCTTGTGTGATGTCATAAACCAGCATGATCCCCATTGCACCTCTGTAGTAGGAAGTTGTAATTGTGTGGAATCGCTCCTGGCCTGCAGTATCCCATATTTGTAGTTTTATTTTCTTTCCATTCAGTTCCACTGTTTTGATTTTGAAATCTATACCTGTAAAATAAAAGATAAGATAAAACGTATTTACTGCATCAAACGTATTTACTGCATCTCCAATTGGCAGAAATAATACTCTCAGAGAAAACAAGAATCTACAGTACTGCGTGTTTGTATTAATGTTAGATGAATTCTTTGGGAGTATGGCACCAAGGTGCAAGTTTTGAGGCTGAGATTGATGTAACCGCGACCAAAAGTATATTGTACACAGTGCAGCTGAGAACCTCTGCAGAAGTGCTACATTCCCACTTTTACTGTACTCAGACTTGAAGTTGTATTGGCTGAAACTTTTCGCTTGAACAGAAATTGCCTTGAAATGCTAACTTTTGTCAAGACTCAAGTGTGATTACGCACACCTGTCTGAACTTGCACCCGAAGTAACCGGAACACTGAGTAAAGTTAACATGGCCCTTTAATTTTATACAGTAGGTGTATGCTCACTGCAGTTGACAAAAAACAATTAAAAAAATTATTGACAATGTACTCTAAAACTTTGCCAACATGTGGAGGAAAAGGTCTGTCACCAACATTTTCTTAACATCAGATCTACCAATTAAGATACCGGTATTTATTTTTTTATCAATAACTTTATTTGTTGTTCAATCATCTCACATGATGCATTTTGGCATGGTCAAACAAGTTCATCTGATTAAGACAAGATTTCAACTTACCAACAGTAGGAACACGAGAATCGCATACGTTACTATCTTCACTAATAAATTTCGCAACTATGCACGATTTTCCAATAAAACTGTCACCAACAAGGATAATTTTAAACATGTAGTCAAATGGCTTCGACAACCCATTCCAATTTAAGTTTGGGTTCATTATGCCTATAACACCTAGTGTACCTGCAGATATACTTAATATCTCCAAATGATTTTATGACATGGTAGAATTTCTCAAGCATTAAAATGATGTCACATTTGCGCTACAGTCAGTAATTACTCATCAAGTATTATGTTTATGCTGTACTTTTTACAGATAAAAATAAAATCATTTCAATGAGTGTTGTGACAAAGACAAGAATCACTGTCAACCTGTTTCGAGGTTCTCTTTTGTTAATTTTAGAAAGGGTATTATCCCGATATTCCTAGACGTCAAAATCCATTGACCTTTGAACTTCTGTATCCTCGTATAGTACATGCAACAACATTCATCGTAAGAATTTTCATATAATTTGAACTGAGCCACCACACTTGAGCTATCAAATACAATCTCAAAATGAAATCTTTAATAATGACGTTTATAAGCATTATACAGTATCCAACATGGCTTCAGGTAAAATCTTTCAATCCAAAAATTGCTATTGCACACATTTCCCTTCTGGTGCAGTGATCACCAACTTCACTCGACGAATGGTACCAAATCCAAACTATTGTGGTAAGTTTGGCTCTACAGATTGAATGAACACAATTACTTGAAGTACGACATAACAAATATGGGAGCAGGTCAATGCTATTGTATACAATAGTTCCACAGAACACTGACAATGAATCAAATAAATAACTGCAGTGGTAGAATAGGGTAACTATGACCCAAATCAAAAAGGCATTATAACCTAAAGTAAACACAAACTAGATATAGACCATGGTGACAAACAATGTTTAAGTAGTGTAGTGTACCCCATACTGTCAAAAATAGACAAAAAGAAATAAACTGTGTTATTACAAGATAACAGCTTCAATTAAATTATTGTATATTATGTATGGTAACTAATTAAAAAGTTTTATAAAGAGTGATTCTCTTGACGAGAAATAACATCCATGTTTAAGAATAGGACTACCGTATATACACATTAATATGTTCACCCTATTAAATAGTGGATGGGTCCATTTGTATGCCACTCCTAATACAAAAATAAAACTTATCAGAAACTGTACTTCAGGTTGGAATTCAACAGATAAGCTACACAATCAAGGAGTCAAATGAGTTGATTACAATCAGTTAACGTATTAACCGATTTCATCAGAAAACAATATGTTTATAACAGTATTATTTAGAGAGAAAATTCCCTTTCTGTTTCATTGCTTCTCTACTCTAATAAAAAAAAACCCAGCGCAGTCAAAGTAAAAATACACTAATCAAATACACCTGGAATAATATGCAAGGTAAAAAAACTTTTTGTATACCGATCTACTAAATTATGGACTAAACTCCCGGATCATACTAAAACCAATTTTAAATTTATGACACTTTCAAATTTTAAGCATTCTATTTCAAATCCTCAATAATACCATCTTAATTTAACATGATTTTCTCTTACCTTGCATATCCACATTTATTATTTAATTTTTTTTTTTTTTTAAGTTTCTTTTAATGTTCCTTTTAAATCTATTTTAATTTGTAGTTAAGTTATCCATCTTTTTTGGTTACCATGTGTATATATCTGCTTTTAAAATTTTTCGTAGTTAAGAACTGAACCACCTTGGAAATCAGTACTATGTGTATATTCAGTATAAAGAAAGAATAAATAAATAAATAAATACTCCATCATGACTTAACCACTAGGTGAAAACTTTTTAGCTCACACAAATGCTGTTTCAAATTGGAATGGGACCTCTGTACAGTAAATAGCGCCACCATTCAATGCTATTTTCTAAGATTTACAACGTACAGCGAACAAGCAACCACACAATCAACAACATTTTTTACAATCTTTATCACAAATTAGAGTAGATCCTGTTAATGCCACTAAACAAAATGAGCCTTTATAGTCTTAAATCTCATACACACAACTTTCAATTCCCCAAAAGGATCCCTGGCAATTCACATGTCAGTACAGTTGGTTGAGGGCACTGTACATTATGAAGCAGCATCACACAAGAAACACCTAGTACCAACTTCAGTGCCTGACTAAGATTTTCTATAAGTAGACCGAAACCTACACTAGCAAAAGAAATTATTAATATACGATATTTAAAAACACGTAATTTCAAAGCCTAAATGTCTTACCACACTATCAAATTTTTTGTGACAAAAAAATGAGATACTGTATGCCCATATTTGGCTTTAATAATATGACATTACCATACTGTATGCCCATATTTGGCTTTAATAATATGACATTACCATACCCATATTTGGGCTCATCAAACAGATTTTTGTCATATAAACTTTAAATGTTTCTTACCTATAGTTGGACAAGTATTAAACAAGAAAATGTCATCTATAAATTGACGTACAAGACAGGATTTTCCCGTATCCTGCTCACCGACCATAATCAGTTTGAAATAAAAATCATGCAGATGTACTTCCTGCTGTTCGATATACTTTTTGGCTCCGGAATTCTTGCGATTGTTTGAGTCGGTAGTTTCCATACTTCATTCAATGTGATCACAAAGACACTGATAGTTTACTCAGTATATGTAACATTATGTTGTACAATAAAAAGCAGTATTAATTATCAAAAGCAATCAATTATTATTAACACTTTAAATACCAATCCTTTGTTTGTACTCTTAAGTATATTTGATGCTTCACAAGTACAGAATTTAAGTGCTGTGTTTATTTTCAGTTTCTGATTTTGCATCCAATTGAATATTTCAAGCTCTAATGAGTTTGAATAAATATCCTAGGTTTTGGTTTTGATTTTATTGTGCATAAAAAATGTCATTTTAAAACTGAGCATTCAGTACTAGTCGCTAGTTAGTAACACAGGTTAATATTGTTATCATTATAAGTAGTAAAACCTGGTATTTAAGCCATGAAAAATACTGGTATGCTGCTTTTTGTAGCCATTAAGTCATTCTATGATATTCTGGTATAAATAAATAGGGGCACTGGTTCTATCTGGAACTTAATAATAACTATCATAGCTTTTAAAATGGCTTCTCCACTGAAGTGTTTCTACCACTGAGTAGGCTATATTGTAGGCTACTTTGTAGGCTATTTGAGTCTTACTCAAAATATGATTGCATATTTATTATATCCAAACCAATGACCTTTAAGTTTTTGATAGTATCTATGATTCACCTATTTTTATCTATTGTTTTGAGGACTCTCAATGACTCCTGAAGTACAGTAGACAGGAAGGTAGTTGTTGTTTTTTGTGTTGCTTTTTAGGCGAGTCAAGTAGCCGCGTTGCAAGGCCGGGGCGCCACTAACTACAGGCTTAACATCGGGCTTGACACTCCTCGCCCAGGGTTCGGTTGGTAGAACCAAGTCTTCTCGGATAAGGACTTAAAATGGAGGTTACAGTCTACACATCTGGCTTGTGTGTACTTTAAAAAACCACTTTAATTGAAAATGCAATGATTATAACAGTTAAAAGCTATTAGTTGAATGATACACATAAGCAATTGATCTTTCTACCTATAGTATTCTTAAGACACAGTGAACCTTTTGTATATCAAATTTACATTGGATATGATCTCTGCCCTTTACATTGATAACTCTTTAGTATAGTAATCACAGGTACAAAAGGGTTAAATCAGCCATTTGAAGATACCATATTGTGCTACAATGACAACAAATTACATAAGCCGATTCAAAGGGGGGGGGGGACCCCAGCCGGCCCAAGCCCCTCCCCAAAAAAAAAATATCGACTAAAATTTTGAGTCTAGGAGTGCCATTTCTGGCCATCTAGAGTTGTCATAATCATAAATTTTCTTACCTCAGTCCCAACCATGGTGGGGCTGAGGTAGTATAGACCCTACACCTGTCAAAGTCCCTCTCCGGGAACCTTCTATTTCAAATTCCTGGATCCGCCACTGAATTACACAGATATTTTTGCGTAAAGAAGGATAGTAGTAAAAATGACATGGCTGCAGTTTTTGGTGTCTATTAAAAGAGCACTAAAATTTGTAACTTTGACAGTAAAAATCAAAGAGCCTCTTAATTGCCACTTTTTGATTCACCAATATGCTAATTAAATCTCCCGCAAGTCACAGAGTTATTATTATTCTCCTACCTTTACCTTTATGACGTGTGCATGTTCTTACTATGGCATACTTTACCAGAGGTCAGCTTGCAATGAACATCACCATGTGCAACAAAATGTAATTAGATGAGTTAAAAGCTCAGTCAACCCTGATCACACAGAGGTGGCTTCATCCAAGTAAGTATTAGGACCCCTGTTCTAATAAACTTTGTATTTATAAATTCTACAGGTTAGATACAAAGCTAATGCATCTTAAGCTCTGCACACACTATCAAATTTTATGTGGCAACTTTGTGTGATATGCCCACATATGGGTATGATATGCCCATATATGGGTACGTATGATGTCACTGTACACCCAAATATGGACATATCAAATTTTATGTGGCAACTTTGTGTGATATGCCCATATATGGGTATGATATACCCACATATGGGTACATATGATGTCATATCACTATACACCCAAATATGGACATCACCTTTTTTTTGTCACATAAAAGTGTGGAGAAAGATTTAGACCTGCTCACTACTTACCTACTGTTGCCAGATTAGTGAACTCATAATCATTGTAGAGGTACTGGAACAGAAGAGATGTTTTACCAACGGTTGAATCGCCAAGAAACAACAATTTAACGTAGGTATCTTTCATTCTCTAACAACTGACCTCCTACAACAAGTTATGTTCAACTTGGTACACACACTTAACTTCTACAAAAACTCCATTTGTTTAGTCCGGTAATCAACAACAGCTGATAAGGTGAGCAGTAGTTGACATTACAGTATCTGGTTTAGTTTGTCCATTGAGATAACTGTTGTTCCTTCAATGACACACAAATGACTAACAGCACAACTATTGGTATGTAAATGAAGTCCTGTTATATAAACCTCTCATCTGTATCTGCTACATTTCCAGGATATTAAACTATAAAATAACTTCCTTCTTCACTGAACAATGTTCTATTTTATTATTTACCAATCTTCCAGTTGAGTACTACTTTAGTATGTTCAGCATTATAACATTTTGACAGAATGTTAAAACAAATTCAAGTTTTGCAGAAGTACTGCAACAACTGTCAAAGCTGGCACTTCTAAATCCTTAATACTAGTAGTACACTTACAACAATAAGTTCAGTAAAGCTTAAAATATTCAGGTGCGCTGATGCAAATGTAGGCTTCTTAAATTTCATTTCATTTATTTTATTTTCTCTCATAAAACTCTCTTTAAAATTGTAATTTATCACACCAGAAGAACATTTATCAAAAGTTACTAGAAATTGCAAATTGCAAGTGAAGTACTGCGAAGTATAAGTGCATATAAATGTTCTTCAAACAAAATTATTTATGCGAGTAAAGTGAAAATAATGAATAATAAAACTATAACAAATAATATGAGACAGACCCATTGTCTCTATTAGAACACTCCCCATTGGGTAACAAAGTCGTAATTTTTCATTTTTGTCAAAAAGTGTCTATAGTGTGGTGAATT